TTGCTATTGCTATTGCTATTGCTATTGCTGTCACCTGACCAAGAAGTTGGAAAGGATAAGAACATTGTTAAAATTGATTTGGCTGCCAATGATATCTTGCATGAAAATTCCCTGGCAAACCATAGCTATGCACATTGTGTGGTCGTCTGGGAAAGGTGAATATGTTAACTAAAAAGAAAACACGCTCAATTCATAAACACATAAATGTATTTATGTGCTTGAAAACTGCTTGATAAAACACATTTACGTGCTTGAAAACTGCTTGAGAAATTTATGAAAAATGAAATGAAATATATGAAAAATGCATAGCTTGCAGTGGTCGGTTCCAGATCCCGTTGCAACAGGCCCCAGCGTCCACCACGTGCATGTGCACAGCACACGCGCAGCATGCACATGCATACTTACCGCCCACGACGCTCCAGCTGCTCGGTGGAGCATTGCGCAGGCACTGTATGCTCCGTGCACATGCACAAAAGCCCTGATCTGCTCAAATACAGGTAAGGAAGGAGGGCGGGAGGATGGGCCCTCCGGAGCACCATACCGGAACGGTACTTGGTGCTCCCAGCAGGCACCGGTACGCCCATACAGGGCCATACCGGTCGTATATACCACCACTGATAGCTTACAAAGGGCATCATGAGAGATTTCTCATTACTGTCTTAATCACATCAATTATTGTGATCAATTTGGAGAGAAGTGAAATGCTGCAAAACTTTGCTCACTGTCCACTGAGGTACTATATTGTATAAGCTACTTGTACGAAAACAGAGCAGCCAAAGTAGAATGGTTAGGCCCTCATTAGACAGATACACATGATATTCCTGCCCTTATGTTGGGACTTTCTCTATTAGAACCCTGGAAGATGTAAGCCAATAGATTTCATTGAACTAAATTCATTTGGTTTTAAAGTGAAAGAGTTGAGAGGATCTAGGAGCCATGTGGAGTTTTAATCGATGCCAGGTCTTTAAAGTCTGATGTACATCTAACTGAGAAAGGTAAAAACTCTTCATTTAGACACTGGTTTGGACAGGTATTTAATTACCACCTCAACCAAATAGCAAACAGATGGCTGTTCCAATTCATATTAACTTCTCTTTAAAGGGTCAATCAATTATAACAGATAAAAAAGATCATTTGGTAATTCTACTTGGTAAAGTTTCTACAGCTATGATTAATGTCTACAGTTTTGTCTTGATTTAGACTCCCACTCTGTTTCATGAAAGCTTTTATTATTTAAATGATATCTCTTATCACCATATTATTGTAGTGACAGGTTTTAATGAGATATTAGATTCTAAATTAGATAGGAATGCACCCACCCATAAAAGGCAATGATCAGTAACAACCGTAGTTAAATCATACATAAATTAAATTTGATAAAACCCTGGCATTTGTGTTTTCTATATATGGGAGGAAAAAGATCTTTAAATTCTAAATTTTATTAATTAAAGAATTGGAGGAAACCTTATCCTATGAATATGGTTTGAAGGTTTTAAATATTTAACAGCAGTTTTAAAAAAAAGTAAACTCCAAACGGATGGGAAAAAAATAAGGTTTAGTCCAGAAGTGGTATTCAGTATGTTCTGACCAGTTCTGGAGAACCAGTAGTGGAAATTTTGAGTAGTTTGGAGAGCACCAACTCTGACTGGCCCCACCCCCATCTTTTCTCTGGCTCCCAAGTCCCAGCTGATGGGAGGAAATGGGAATTTTACAGTAACCTTCCCCTGGAGTGGGGTGGGAATGGAGATTTTACAGTATCCTTCCCCTTCAGTGGTGGGTTTCAAAAAACTTTTGAACCTACTCTGTGGGTGTGGCCTCCTTTGTGGGAGTGGCTTGCCGGCCATGTGTTTTCTTTCTTTCTTTCTTTCTTTTTTCTTTCTTTCTTTCTCTCTCTCTCTCTCTCTCTCTC